TTTTTTTATAATATTTACAATTTGCTTATCTCCATCAATTATTTTTTTTACTTTTATTTTACCTATATTATTACTATAAAAAATAAAATAATGGTATTTTAAAATATTAGGAATTGTTTTAAAATAATTTGATAAAAATTCTATCTAATTATAAAAATGTACTATACGGTTTTCATTTTTATTAAAAATTATCTGTACTTGATTATAACCTTTTAATATTGAACTGTTTACTACATCTACTAAATCATCAAAATTATCAACTTCTGATTTTCATAATTTTAATTTAAAAAGACCAAAAAATCCATTAGAGCTAAATTTTGTATGTTCAGGTATCATAAATGAATATGTAATTTTGGTATGCGACCTACATATAACTTATCATATTAAATATATAACCATAGCATTATTTTTGTTCTGCTTAGCACAATTATACATATAAATTATTATATTAGTTTCATCTATTCTATAGAGAGTAAAATAATTATAAACAAAGGATATAACCGTATTTGCATCTTTTCCAATACATTTTTCTTCTTTAATTAAATAATTTCTCTAGAATAAAAAAGCATCAATAAATAAAATTTAAATAATATTAAAAACTATAAAAATTATAGTTAATTATAAGTACTTACTTGAATTAGAAGCGCATCCTCATAAATTCTAAAAACTTAAATATTATAAAGAGATTTGAAATATATACTTCCTTTTATAAAAAAAATCATTTTAATATATTAAAAAAATACTATATATATATATATATCATAAATCAATTAAAAAATCATACTTCTTGTTATGAAAAAAATGGAAGTTTTACTTGTTCTGTATAATTCTATGATATATGATTTTTAAAATTGAAAGAATTTGGATCATTAGAACAAAAAAAAATTGAGAAAATTAGAATTTTATTTTAAAAATAATTTTGATATTTGTATACAATTTCTAAATGTTAATATTATTAAAGATTTTATTAATATACAATATTTTACAGATTTTTTCTTTATAAAAATATAAATAAATACCTATAATATTCTCTTTCTTTTTGTATCTACTGAAAATGATTATTCCATTCATATACATGATCTATATTTTATTGATCTGTTCAATATTATGAATTAAATCACATTTTCTTATATTTAGAACACAAATTACTATGAGGGAAAAGAAATTTAATTTCTGAAATATATTTATTTTAAATATACCAAAAAGTAGTCAAATGTAATATTTTTTGAATTTTTAAAGCTGATATGTATAATCAATATAAAAAGGAATAATTTTCACTTGCTGGAAAAAATATTGTTGGTAAAGTATCTTTTTGAAAATGTCATCTTTTATTAAAAGTTATTAATTTATATTAGTTTATTAATAAAAAATATATAATTAGATTATTATAATTACTAGAAGAAGGTAAACTATGTATATTTGCATAATTTACTATGAAAGTAAGTATATCTAAAATTTTTTTCAAATAACATAGCAGAATTACTAACTCTTTCGATTAATTTATGTATTCTTGGATTAATTTCTTTTTCTACAAAATGAGATTGAATATTAATCCAATATTTTTCACTAATTTCATATATCAACAAAAATGATTTACTATAAATTTTTATTTCTTCAAATATATATTTATTAGTAAGTTGCTGACATTTTTGACCTTCAGTAGTTATACTACTTCAAGTAATTATTAATAATATTCCTAATAAAAATATATCCTTTTGTGTATTGCTTAGATTTTGAAATTTTTGGTAATACTTCACAGCATGTTCATAAAAACTAATTTTTGGTTATAGTATTCTTTGCAACATTTCACTATTTATAATTTTTTATACTGAGCTTCAACATCCTTTTTATCTAAATTTTCTTTTATTTTTTATTTTTATTTTTATTTTTAGTATCTTTAATTTTGTAATTTTTATAAATATTTTTAAACTTATTTATTTGTTTATCATTTAATATAAGTTCATCTACAATAAACTTATTTAAAATAAATTCACTTGGAGATTCAATTATAATCTCAGTTAAATAAGATTCTCCTTCATAAGGTATAGCTATTTCAACAGGTTCATCTGATTGATAAATAGTTTAAAGCTCTTTCATTTGACTTTGTATGGTTGATAATTTTAAATATATACTATTAAAAATATTATCAAATAAAAAATGAGTTGAAGTCATGGTTAAAATGTAAATATCAAAAATAAATGCCAAAAAAAAATTTTGAATAAGAAGATTAAATAAAAGTTATCAATAATAAATGCATGTATTAAAACTCAAAAATTCTTTATTAAATATATTATATAAATTTTATTACTGATAAGATATTAAAATATATATTGTACAACTTTTACTAAAATTAATTAAATTAATTGAACTAAAAATTCTGTTGATCTTATTTTAACTAAAAATTTTAATGTTTGCTTATATTAGTTAAAAATCTATATGGAAGTCCTTTGTAAAAGCAATTTATTAAGAACCTTATAATTAGTGACTTTGCAAATAATTTCTTCAATTTTAAATTGCGTAACTATAAAAATAAAGAACTCATATAAAGAAACATTAATACATTTCATAAAAGTAAAAAAAAACTCTATTCATCTATAAAAAATTTACCACAAGTTTATATTAAAAGAAAGCTTAAGTCAATTTCTAAAAGAAAAAAAAAAAAGAACAGTTAGTATCATTTTAAATGAAAGAATCTCACCTACCCATAAAAGCTTATCATAAGAAAAAGTCTAAGCTGATTTCTAAAAAGAAAGAAAAGAGAACAGTTAGTACTATTCTAAATAAAAGAATCCTGCTAATACTATGTGAAATCAATCTTATTACACTATAAAGATTGGCAAATGATTAAAGTTATTAACATCATTAGCATTTTTAATTTAATTAATATTTTTATTTTATTTACTTTATTCTTATATTTTATTATTATTATTTATTATATTATTATTATTATTAAATTATAATTTATCTTTTATATTTATTTTAGCATTATAAAATAGTTTAATGTTAGATAGTAATTTCTTATAATTGTATTTTTGTATAAATAGGATAGAAATTTGTCCCTGTAAAAGGGCAGAGATAACAGTATAAACTTAATAGTTCAAGTTTAAGACTTAGAATCTAAGGTTAAGGATTACTAAATATACAAATCTCTACAATAAAGGAATCTCTTTTTAAATTACATACACTATAGATACCTGCCGAAATCTCCTTAAAATAATTTCGTCATATCCTTTTTTATATTTTTAATATAATTTCGACAATTTTAGCTTTCGTTGTATTGAAAGGATTTTGTCATATCTCTTATTATAATTTTAATATAGTTTTGTCTAAGTTTCGACTGTTATTAAGGGGTTTCATCTCTCATTATTAACATACACATTAAAATCCTTCAACATGTCAATTATGTTTATTATGTTTATCAATTGTTAAAGTTATTTTACTTGTTTAAAATATAAACCTAAGGTTGATTGTAATAAGACTTATTCCACAGTAACTTAGTAGTTTCTTATACATTACTTTCTGTTATTAAGTCATTATTACCTTAAGTTTGACAGGCTGGGTGTAGGATTAACAAATTGGTGATTCCTGCCAGGATTAAAATTGTCTCTATTAAATTTATATGAATATACCTACTAGTTTTGACATTCTAAAAATAATCTAAGAATATTATAAAGAAGCACACAGAAATAATTTACCTTTGAAAAATGATACATCTTGTGTATAGTGTAATTCTATTAATCGAACAGTAACAAAGCAATTTAAAAACTTTTGGAATTAGATCTCTAGTGAATATAATAACACAGCATTCAGTGATTGTTCTTTAATAGCATTCAAACTTTATTTAGATAGCTATCGTAAAAATGCTCATAATAGTAATAAAACAATAAAAGCAGCAGTTGCATTATTATATTGTCTAAATTATTACCTATACACTGCTGATTTACCTTCCATTTTATAACATTTACTATTAATCACCCATACTACTGAGTGTTTTAAAAAATCTTTTAATACTTCTATCTCACCCCTTACTCCTACATCTATAACCTTTGAATCAATTGAAATAACAATGAATAACGATCAGTTAAAGAATCTTATAGATCATATGACAAAAAGTTTCAAGGATCTTGCTAAAGATATTAAGAATACACCGTCCAGTTCAGGTGGAAATAATGGGAATACAATACCAAAAGAAAGTAATTTTTCTTCATATTTCTGAGCATGAATTTGTTTAAAAAAGATATATTTCCCATGTTCCAACTAAATTAATAATAATATTTTATGTTTGATATACTTATCTCGTTAATTTTAAATTGTTAGCAAATTTCATAAAGGTCTACTATTTGTATTCATTTCTCTTCAATTCTCTTATAAACACCTTTTTTAATAACTTATATTATTAGATGAGGCTTTTGGTAAAAAAAAAACAAAGATTCATGGTGCAGTATATCTATTATATTTTAATTCAAATTATTAATTTTTTTTTTCTTTTTTTTTTTTTACAAAATTATTTCTAATATTAATTGTTTCCAAAAAGTTGGAGTACACATTTTTTATTATTAAAATAAGATAAAAAGAAAAGAAAAAAATTGAATTCTACAAAGAATTTCCGTGTAAAAAATTAAAAGCGAATTTTATGTTACACGAACCGAAAATTGTAGCAAAAACGTTCATTATTTATTATTTAATTATTTATAATTATTATCTTAATTCTGTTCTTTAATTCTACAAACGTGTAAAGAAACAATGAAGTGATGGAATTTCTCCATCTTGAAATTCCATAATGATTTATATTTTTTTTCGATAAAATTTTTATTGATAATTCCCATTATGGATTTCTTTTGGCATTAACCATTTTTGGATATTGCATTTACATGCATTTCCTCGGGGGGCCAACTCCGGAAAAATTTTATAAATATTCAGGTTTTTTTTTTAATTTCCCACCTAAAAATTTATTATTAAATAAAATAAAAATATCGCAAAATATACATACATTATTTGATATGACCAGTAAGGGTAAAAAACGTCAAAATGAGCAATCGGAGAGTAGAGATTCGAAGTATCCTCGTATCAAAGTTAGCTTGGATGATTCAGTTATGGATGTAGATTCCAGTTCCCTTCCATCCCTATCTCCGTTTCCATCCCCCTTACCTTCCTCTTGTCCTTCGCCGTCAATGGATTATTCACAGGAGACAATTTTTCAATATGAAAATGAAGTATCAAGCGAATTAAATAAAATGCATTTAAATAATAACTTGGAAAAAGAAATAGAGGTTTGTGAAGATAAACCAGAATTAAGAAGGGATTTCTCCTCAATAGCGTGTACTGTAATAAAAGAAACTCATATAGCTCAAAGTTTCGAAGAATTTTGTCCAATAATCAAATCATTCTTTTCATTGGGAAATGAAATTGTACTATTGTATGAAAAGGCCGAATATAATAAAAAATTATGTGGTATCCTTTGTGAAAGGGTTAACAGTGCAAATGCTACGGTCAAAGATTTAGATATTAGAAAAACTGAAAATAAACAATTTTTTCTAAACAAGAAAATCTAAAATTGTTTAAAACGTTTATAGATTGTATAAGAGAAATCAGAAATTTTATTGAGAATATTAGTCATTTAAACAGACTTCAAAGATTTTTTCAAACGAGTGATATCAACGAAACTTTTAATAAACTTACGAAGGAATTTGACGGATATATGAGTAATTTACAGCAGCAAAAAAAAAATTTGGATCCATTTGATTTTAAAGACCTAGTAGAGAACGAACCATTGCTTGATGGCAATCAATATCGAAGGACAAATGTTTGTCCTTCAAAAAGGATCGAAAAACGAACATCATTCAAAGATTGCACTGAAGTTTCATTTAAAGAATTTTCAAATAATGCATCTTCTCAAACTCAAATTGAAATCAGAGGACAAGTCAATATTCTAAAAGAATTAAAAAATTCTGATCATATTATAAGATTTTTTGGTGTGGCTAAAGATGATTCCAAATTTTATTTGGTTACTGAATGGATGGAATATGGAAACTTACATGAATATTATACAAATTTTCGAGATATGATGAACTGGGAAACCAAAATTAAATTCGCTTTAGACATTTGTCGTGGTGTTGCATATCTTCATGATTGTGAGGTATAATAGTTAACTTTTTTTATTATTATTATTGTTCATATTTATTCATATTATTTATTTTCTACAATTAGATCCTTCATCATGATATCCAGTCGGCAAATATTTTAGTAAATCAATATCAAAAGGTTAAAATAGCAAATTTTGGTCTAAGCAAAAAATTTTCAGATGCTACTAGAAGTATTTCACATAACCTAGAGAATATAAGGTACATGTCCCCAGAAAAATTATTATATGATAAAAATAATAAGGAAAATAAATTGCCAAAAATTGATTATGATACTAAATGTGAAATTTACAGGCAAGTGAAATTTTTTTTAAACGAAATTTGTAGTACCATTTATACAAATTTTTTAACCTTTTCTTTTCAATATTATAGCGTTGGAGCATTATTGTGGGAGATTGCAGAATTAAAAAAACCTCATTCTGATCTTGATAAATCGGAAATACTTGGTAGTGTTAGAAAACGTATGCGAGAAAGATATTATGAACCATTTTCAAATGATGTTCCCTCTGAATGGAGGGATATAGTATCTAATGGTGAGTGAATATAATTGAATAATAATTAAATTATTTAAATTAAAAGCTTCTTTTTTTAATTTCTTTGTAACAAAATATATATATTAGCTATGGAATACGAACGTGATTGGCGTTCTAGTATTTCAGCTATTTGTCGGGACCTTTATGAATTGATGATGAAACAACATTCGGATAAATCTCGTCCAAATAGCGGTTTTAGTTATTCAAATTGTGAGAATGAAATCTCGACACCTTCGGGGGATCATAAAGTAAATTTATCAGCAAATAATAATCAAAGTGCATTGGTTTCATCAACTTTTACAATTCTCCCTGTTGAAGATGCAATTCGCGAACACAAATCCAGCAATGGAAGCAAACTAGTTGCATGGAATAGTTTCAAATTTCACTCAATAACCAATGTTGAGGCAAGATATTGGGTAGGATATTATTATCTTTACCATGGTGAAGAAATACCTTAATTAAGATCAATTCATGAGGAAGAAAGGGTCAAAAATGCCATTGATATATTTAAAGAAACTGCTGATAAAGGAAATTCTTCCGCTCAATTAAGATATGGAATGCATTTATGGCAAAAGGAAAATAATTATATCGATGGTTTTAAATATTTAAAAATGTCAGCTGATTCAAAAGATGCAACGGCCATGTTTATCGTTGGAAAAGCTTATTGGAATGGTATCAATGGAATTGTTCAAGACAAGGTACTAGGTGCCCAATATTTAAAAACTGCTGCTTTGGCGGATCATCCTAAAGCTAGAGAATTATGTTTTAAATATGGAATTTCATAAACATTATTTTCTGAAGAATTTTTTTTTGGTTCTACACTTCATTCATCACTCATTTATTTAATAAAGTATATTTTTTTAAAATAATTAAAAAAAGATTAAACGCCACAAAAGAATACTGTGTTTGTCCCCTTTAATTGAGTTAAATGCTAATATAAAAAAGGTTTGGCTCGTTACCCTTCCGACTACTGAAATTTTTCAGGTTGCTATTAAAATCACGTTGTGGATCATACGATTTACGTTCGTACCTCGATTTTAATAGCATTTTTTTGAACGGATAAAAATGTTCATTTTTCATGCCAAAGCGCAAATGCCTGAGACCCTACTAATTAATGCTTATTCCAAACTATTTTTGCCGAATCGATTCATTTTGAAAGATTATAAAGGGATAGTATGACAAATGTGAATAAATAAATCCAAATAAAAAAATATATATATATTCTTATCACAGGATATTAACCGGGGGACCCGTTCACTTACCAGACAACCACTTCGTCGACACTTACGTCACAGACAATTAGAGGCCTGCAACGGGCCGGGTCCGGTGTGGGAACCCGCCCGGACCCGGGTTCCGGGCCGGGTACGGGACGGCAAATATAAGTTTAGAATTTTCCGGGCCGGGTCCGGGTTCAAGGTACCAGCCCGGATTTTTTTATAATTTTGGCAAAAATCATTATTTAATTAAAATTTAGCCGCCACTGATTGCATAATGAAATATTTTATTGTTGCTAATCAATTTCATATTGTTTGTATCATTTTAGTATTACATAGCGTTCTTCATTAATTGTTTATTTATAATAACTATTTGTTAAAAAATTGTAAAAAATAAAAAATACATATCGTTAAAAATAAAATGATTAAATTGTTACAGCTAATTTCATAAGTCACAGGATAGCCGAATAACCGAGACTTTTCTGAGAACATTTATAAGGATTTGAAAAAGCCAATCCACAGTTTTATATAGGTAAAAAATTATGTAGCTATATTCGGAACAATGATTTGAATGTAGCGATAATGTTTTTTCTTCAAAAAATTCTATACCGAGTTTTTTTTATCAATCTGCAAAATGATCGTCTGTCTCATGACTTTTTAAATTAGCTGTAAATTTCGCTTCGCCAATAATTATAATTAAGTTCAGGCTGGGCTGGGCTGGGCTGGGCTGGCATTTTAAAACATGAATATAACCCAGGATGGAGCCGAGCTGGCATTTTAATTCTTAGCTTAAAGTCTGGGCTAGGCCGGGCTTAAAAATTTGGACTTACGTAGGTCTCTACCGACAATGGTTTCACCGACTGTGTTATTTCGCCAACGATCAATTCATCGACGATTATTTCGCCAACAATCATTTTGCTGACAAAGTTATTATAAAATTATTACATCACATAACATCATATCGAACAATAATATTTAATTTATAAAATATAATATACTTTTTAATTTACTTAAAAAAGGAAATATTACAACATTTAATTTGATAATATACTATTTAATTTATATATAACGATAGAAGCAAATAATATTATTTGTGAAAAAATTCTTTCTATTCAAAATAAAGATAAAATCAATATTAATGGCTATCTTATGGTTAAAGATAAAAATTGAAAACATTTATATTACTGGTATTGTGAAAAATGCGATAAACTAAAATGTCATGGAAGAGCAACTACTATATTAAATAAAGATCAACATCATCTTAAGAATGCTTCTAATTACAACCATGCTGCAGAAGCTAACCGAATAAATTTTGTAAAACTGAAAGAACAGGCTAACAAACTAATGTTCAGCCTGTACAAATTATTCAAAATTTAGTGACTAGTAGTTTAAAAGAAATGTATCAACATTTTCCAACTCATGATGCACTTCACCAATCTATTAAACAAATTCAGCGTGTAAAACCACAGTCTTTAGAAAGTCTTATAATTCCTAAAAAATATGTAAATACTTTAGATAGATCTAATTTTTTGATTAAAGATTCAATTATAGGTCATGATAGAATATTACAATTGCAAATATTAACTAACTAAATCAATCCTCTATTTGGATTATAGATAGAACTTTTAAAACAGTTCTAACTATATTTAAACAATTATATACCATTCATGAACATGTAAGAGGAATTGAGAATTCAAGAATTTTGCCCCTTGTTTATATTTTAATATCTATTAAATCTGAAGAATGTTATCAAAGATTATTTAAAGATTTAATTGACTTTAGTGAAGAACATAATATTGAACTGTAACCACAATTTATTTTAACAAATTTTGAACAAGCTGCTATTCAAATAGAATTCAAAATACTCTAAATAAAGGAAGTCCTTTTACTTAAGCTCAAAACATCTATAAAGTACAAACTTTTAGACTTATTATATAATATAGTACTGATGAAAATTTCAGTTTGTTAATTTAACATATACCAGCTTTAGCTTTTTACTTCCTAAAGATATTCCTATAGCATTTGATAAATTAAAAACTCATATGTTAGCAAAAGCTAATAGAATTATAGATAGTTTAAAAGGTATTATATTCGTGATAGTGTAATATGTATATTAAGAAGTAAAAATGTGATACAATCTGTACTAGTATTTTCACCTTTACTTTAATCAATTACTGATAATTTTAAATATTCATTTTTTCAGACTTAAAACTTTGTAAAAGCTTGGCATTGAAGGTAGGAAACATTAGTAGATAATATACATGTTAGTTTATTTAAAATTATAAAAGAGATTCAAAAAGAGTAAAATTAAGTTTAATTTGATATAGAATAAATTTTACAATAATTATCATAAATTTTACCAAAAGAAAGGACTGTAATCATAAATTCTGAACTTAAACTATATATAATAATTAGAAAAATAGGATAGTCATAGATTTTCTTTAGAGTATTGCTTATAATCTTTCATTTTGATATTAATGTTACCATTGTAATAAAATAAAATTTAATATACAAAACTTTAAAGATACTGTATTCATCTGAAAATAAGCACCACTCAAAAATAAGTACTACCCATTTTATATAAAATATATAAATAAGTATCCCCTTACAATCAAAATTTTATAGCAATAAATTTTTATATAAATAAATTATAAAAGTTCTTTTATTATATATATAAAATGAAACTATAAAAAATCCACATGATATCTTCACCAATTACTTTATCATTATCATTGATTTCATCATCATCATCAATATTATCATCATTATCAATATTGTGAACATCAATATCGTGATCAATATTATCACCGATGCTATAGTCAGAAACCTCCAAATCTAAGCCTAAATTATTGAAAATTTTACATTTTTTAAAGGACTCAATAATAACTTCCATAGAAATATCCTTTCAAGCTCATTTAACCTATAAGTAAACATTATTAAAGCTAATGCAGCAAAGATTTTCAGCTGCAGTTTCTCTTGCTTTACCACTCGTCATCCATTCATGCTATTCTTTATGGAGATTATCTTTGAATGACTTATTTATTAAGACATCAAGTGATTGACATATGCTAATCAATCCATCCAGAATTACTGTGAGATAAATATCACTTTTATGAAACTTTTCTTTAATTGATTTTTCTAAGTGGCTCCTGAAAGAATCATACATAACACAGGTAAAATAATGTCAAATAGGGTTTTAATCTGATTAGCTAGTTGGTGTCCAATTATATACTGATTTTTATTTATTTTTTAAAAGTAAAATACCCAATTTATGTTAATTTATAGCAGAAATTAGTATTCAATAGTCATAAATAGGCATATAAAAAATTTAATGCAATCGGATTACTATCAGCCTATAATAGACACATAACTTATTGCAGTCTAGTATACATATGACACTTTTAGCCAATTTAACAATCCATCAATAATCAGAAGAGATACGATTTATATTTAAACATTATTAAATTTATTTATATATCATATAAATTTATCACATGATATTTATATTTATATATATATTATATCAGATTTTTATTATAGCAATATTTTAACGATTTTCAATTACATATATTTTAAATTCAATATTATCAAATTAAATAAGTTACAAATATTAACGATTTGTTAAAACTAAAGCAATTTAAAACTAATTTATAAATAAAATAAATATATGTTAGAATCATTTACTAATTCAAAAGAAATATCTGAATTATAGATGAGGAACGAAACCCCTTAATAACAGTCAAAACTTAGACAAAACTACATTAAAATCATAATAAGAAATATGACGAAACCCATTCGATATGATGAAAGCCAAAACTGTTGAAACTATATTAAAAACATAGAAAAGGGTATGACAAAATTATTTTGAGGAAGTTTCGGCAGGCATCTATAATCTGAATTAAATAATTGAAATCATACTAACTTATATAATCTTAGCTCAATATTTATTTTGTTAAAGCCTCTTCTTTTTTATCGCTCTAAAATATTAGACAATTTTTTATGAATAATCAAAATGATTTGCTATTAAAAATGGTTTGTTAACTTTTAAACTTACTAATTGCTTCTGAAATTTATCACTATAATGTAAGTTGCAGAAGTTCTTAACTATATTTTTTAATTGACCTTGATAGCTAATATGAGTCCAGCCAGAAGCAGAAAAAGGTGCAAACTCTTTCTTATTATAAAAATATTCATTGTCATAAACATATTTTCTTTCTTTCAGAACCTTTGATTTTTCATCAATCATCTAATTTATATAATTTCGTAAAAACAAACGTAACTTATAAATTATAGTTAATATACTATATATAGATTATCATAAATTAAAATAACAATAGAGATTAAAGATAACTTACAGTAGTTGAATGCTACCTCAATCTCTTATAGTTACTTTCCTTTTACCAGATGTATTTTCTTTATTTGTTTTAGAAATTTCTGATGAGTAGTAAATATTATTCTTGAGAATTGGATCCAATAGATCCTCATAAAACTTTCAGATTAATGGATCATTAATATTTTGCAAGTGTTCTATCATTCTCGCTCGTTTATTTCATTTCTATGATTCAAAATAAAAAGAAAAAATTAGCAATAGAATATTAAAAATCAATTACTTACTGCTTACTTCATTTCTGTGACTATTAAAATATTTTCTTCATTTCTGATTATCATTGTATGCCATTAATCATTCTTATATTAGGTATATTTTACACTAGTAATAGTGTCTAATATGAATAATATTATAGATAATTCCTTCTACAACTGAAAAAGTATCAGATCTAAATACTTCTATTATAGTCAGAATTATATCGCTATTTACCAGATTCCATTGCAATTCAAAAGTTTGATTTAATTGTAATTACTTGTCCTTTAGTAGCCTTTTAATATTTCACATAACTTTCTGCTAAAATATAAATATTTATAATAATTAGCAAATATCTAAATTAAAATAAAAATGACATCATTTACTCTCAGGACTTATCGAAGATTAGTTGGTATATCTGAAATATAAATATATTTTGATATTCTATGAGATTCCTGATCTAAACTGCTTGATAAACTATTAGAATCACTAATATCAGATTCTGAAATTACCTGACGTGTAATAAACTTATGCTTGTCTTTCTTAGAATTGTGATGATGATTTTTATCTTTTTCATCGTCACTACTTGTCATAATCAGGTCTTCTTGTCTTTAGAATGTATTAAAAGGAGCCAAAGGTTTTAAAACTCATTTATTTTGATTGATAAGGTTAGAAAAACCAGAAACTATGTAATCATCTTAATCTTCCTGAGTATTATACTGATTTGCTGATTGTTCTTTATCATTAACTATGTTATCAATATAACTGTTATAGTTTCACTTTTTAAGTTTATCTTTAAAAATATGCTTGATTAATACTTCTAAATATTCTAGTTCGTTGATTATATCAAAAAAATAATTATAATAATATAGTTGTATTTATGCATTATTTAATTACAATATATCAATCAGATAATTAGTTAGTCTTGCCCATTGTCTCTTTTTTTCATTCCATTTACTTCCTGATGATTTTTTATGAAGTTCATCATCTGAATCCAAGAATTCAAATGAACTTGATAATTTGGTCTGATTGTGTTTATATTTGTTATAGCTTCTTTTAGTTAATCAGAAATTTATGTAAATAAAACATTAGGAACATAAATATGAAGCAATTCAAATGTTAATGAAAATTACTGATCCATTTGCTAATATTTATACTTCTTTGAGTCTGTGTAGTATATATAATTTTTACCTTTTCTTTCTTGACTTTTAGAATAACTTTCGTTGCGGTGATATTTAGAAGAATTTGTGGCTTTCATTTTACCTTTACTATACCTAACTATATTATTAGAAGTAAAAAAATAAATAAAGAGAATGTTTGTTGAAGTTCGTTAAGATAAAAGAAGTTTGTTGAAATCAATCTAAAGATGATTAAACAGAAACCTTTTATATGATTTTAAATATTAGACATAAAAAGTTAAACAATAATTATCATGTGATGAAACAATCAAGCTTTATTATAAAGAATTACAATAATTATTATATGATGAAATCAAGCTTTTATTATTACAATAATTATCATATGATAAAACAATCAAGCTTTAATACTAATCGATTATATATATTAGTATTTTTAGTGATCAATCATTTTAATTATTTTAATAGTATTTTCGACATACTAATTTGAAGGCTGATTTAATATTTTATTTTTTTTTTAAATAATAATATAAATATTTATTCATTAACTAAATAATAAATATATTTTATAAATTTGTTAATCTTTGTTTCACTATATATTGATATTACGATATTAATTTGATTAAATAAATCAAACAGTAGTACAAATAAATTAACATCAAAGAAAATTGCTGATCATTCCTACCAGCATTACTAAAACTTATAAATAATTTCAGCTAAAATTATAAAATCCATTAAAGGTTAATTATATCATCTATAATAAACTTTCAAATGAATATATATATATGTTTAATATATTGTAATGTATATACTTCTTTCTTATACTCTCTATTGTCATAAAAAATGTCTAAAGAATTTACAAGCAGACATCCTAATAGAGAACAATTAACTATATTAATGGCTACCAAGATTACCAAAGTAAGATTTAAAGTACAATATAATTATAAAAAATGTGATGGTAACTGGGTCGATTTAAGAACTCGTAATAAATATTATGTAGTAGAAGAAAATTGCGATTGGAGAAATCTGAATGAAAAAATCTGACAAAAAAGAAAAGAAACGGCATCATATCAAAGATCCAAGATTGAGAATCCCTTCCAGTTTTATATCAGTAAAATATCAACCAGTTACTTCAAAATCTCTTCGACAAGAAAATTTTAGTAAAAATATTCATATGTTCAATTACAATTTAGTTTTATTTAGTGACGATAAGCAACATATTTTTGATACAAAACCAGAACCTGTTATAAAAAAAGATGAAGATACGATCAGTTTTGTCAAGTAAACAATATTGGAATCAATCAGAATAAAGAATCTGAACAATCTTCTTATTTAACTAGCGATGAAGAAGATGTTTCTCACTTGGATGTTGATTAACTGTTAATGGATGATATTAAACAAGTATTAAATGATAATGATGATACTTCCAATAAGTAATATTCTTTTTTTGATTATGATGATATACAGAGAATCTCCAAAAGTTTACGCACACTTTTTTCGTGCGAATTTACTCGAAATTTTATTAAAAAATTAAGTAATTTACAAATAATAAATAATATTCCTAGACTATTAAAATATATATTTTATTAAGGGTTTAATACTTAGTCGGACCACTATTTGCATTTATTACTGCCTGAATTCATCGAGGCATACTTTTAACTAAATTTTCAATTTTTTCAGAAATAATTGATTTCCAAGCCTTTTGTACTTATCATTCAAATGAGGAAAGGTTAGTGGGCTTTACTTTTCAGTTTTGAAGGATTTTTTTAATTTTGTACCATAGATTTTCGATTGGGTTAAGGTCAGGGCTTTAAGCAGGCCATTTAAGGGTTCAGATATTTTTTTTTTGCATGAAATTCTGCAACAATTTTGCTTTTGTGACAAGGAGCATTGTTTTCTTGAAAAATACCATCCCCATTTGGAAAAAATCACTTCATAGTAGGGATAACATGCTTGCATATAGTTTTGAGATGCACTGCATCATTTACAGAACCAACTAAAGGGACAATTGGCTTTAATCCTTATGCAGAAAAACATCTCCAGAACATCTGACTTGGACTGTGCTTCACTGTCGCTGAAACACAAGCAGGTAACCATTCCTCAAATGGTTCTCACCAAACCTGGCAAGTACATGATTGTTGAAACTGAGAAAAGATTGATTCATCAGTCTAAAGAACCTTTTACCAGTTTTGCACAGTCCAGTATGCATGCTCTTGTACCCATGCAAGTCGTTTCACTATGTTTTTAAGTAAAATGAATAGTTTTCGCCTAGCTGCACAATTATTTAATCCAATAATATGAAGTATTTAACAGATTGTAGGGGTAGAAGTATCCTGCCCTAACTTCTTTTTCCAAAGATCTTGCACTTCACGGGTACATTTGCGGTGATTTTTTTTCTTTGTAATTAATCGTTTAAGTTGGTTATGGTTTAGAGTTATGAAAAGGCGCAGTTACCCAGAACGTGGCTTTGTATCAGTAGACTCAGTGGCTTTATGCCTTATTATACAAACTGAAACTGCAGAGGGTTCACATCCTACAGTTTCTGCAATTTTTCTGCATGAATGGCCAAGTTGATGTCCATAAAGAATAACACCTTTTTGGGATTCAGTAAGATCTTTTCCTTTACCCATTTTTTTAAGGTAAGGTTAAAAAATTTTTTTTGTTTTTTTTGGGTTTATTTATTCTTTTTTAATTAGTGTGAGAAAATTCACACGGTCGTCTCAAATTATGAGTGCATAAAACAAATCATGCAGAGTTTACGATTTTTGCAAAGTTTGCGATGTTTATTATATTTATGATGTTGGTGATATATTTAGATGAAAATGGTAGCCCGATCAAATAATAAATAGCTTAGTACAAGTTTAATTTACTATTCTAGAAACAATATTTATTATTTGATGATCATTTGCTTATTTAATAAAATATTATTAAAATTCATACAAAAAAAGTGTGTATAAACTTTTGGAGATCCACTGTAGATACTGATTCAGATCTTGAATACCCTAAAATAGTGAAGTGATCCGGATAATTCATGATTATAGGCGGATATCCATTGGTTAAAAAGATCATCCAGATACCTATTATATATTTGTAAAAAATCAAATAAATGATTCACAGATAATTTATCAAAAATTCATGAATGATCTACAAGTCGCATGAATAGTATATAATTCGTGAATATTCGCAAATTCGCATTTTTTATAAATAAAAAATTCTAAATATTTCATGAATAATGATATTTTATTTATTATTTGACTTTATAACATATGATCTAAATATAAAATATTATTGTAACTATCATAATAAAAGCAAAAACTATTAAAAATATTAATTTGTAGGATTAGGATAAATATTTTTAACAAGATATGCATTTTTTTTTAAAAAACATAAGTCTATTGAATAATTCTGGATTCAGTCGTGTTCTTTTAGCAGTTAATAAATTTTCTGCATTGCTAAATAACCTTTCACTTGAAGTAGATGTTGCTGGAATAAAAAGGTAAATTCAGGCTAACTTTGAAAGAATTGAAAGTCGTTCCTTATTATCATACCACTAAATAAAAGGATCAGAGTTGAGGCTTATTTTAGACAAAGATAAGTATATAATTGTCTCATTATTATGTTATAATAAATGTCATTCAAAAATCGAAAATATGGATGGTTCTGATATTGTTGTTATAATAGTAGTATTATTAATTGATGAAGTATTGATTTTAAGTTTATTATATTTATTTTCCAATAGTTCTTTTGTTTTATTGTGAATTTCTTTATCAATAAATTCAAGAAATTTAATTTGAAGATCAAGTAATGCTGAAATAAGAGTCTCACTTTTTTCATTATTCTAATATAATTCCATTGCATTATATAAATTAACTATTACTTTTTCTAACATTTCAGTAGTTATTAGTGAATTATTTAAATTTAATTTTTTTCTTGATACTTGAGGTATATTATCTTTATATTCTATTCGTTCTTCTCTATATTCTCCATATTCTTTATGTTCTCCTTTTTCTCCTTTATTTCCTTCAAAAACATCAGCAATTTCTTTTATATTATTCATATTATTACTATTATTTTCGTTTGTTGGTTTTATAAGATTTTTTATTTCTTTCAATATAGGACTCATAATACTATGAGTTATATATTTACTTGCTTCTAAGTAATCTGTAGCATCAGCAAATCCTTTTAAAATTTGATATAAATTACTTAATAATTCCTATTCATCTTTAGTTAACATAATTTCAATTAGATATTGACCATCTTTTTTTTGAATCATAATCATTAGCAAGAGGTAGTGTTATTACTAAAATATTAATATATAGTTTAATTTCTAACAACTTTTTCTATGCTAAATAACTAGAATTCCATCGCGTTATAATATTAGCAATGCAATGACGTAGATATGTACTTGTTTTACCAGGTTTCTAAAAAAATTTTTTATAAATATAATAATAAAATAAATAAATACACATTTTTAATATTTTTAGTTATTACTTACTATTTTATTTTCTATTTAAATAGAAGATATTTGAATATTTTCCAATCTTTCTAATTGTTTAGGTCGTATAAAAAAATCAATAAGTCTTTTTACCCTTAACACAAGTAGTTTTACATATGCAAGTTCTTTTCCAACAACTAACTGTAAGATATGAGTAGTACAAGGCTGCCAGGTTAATATTTTTAGAGATTATATTCATGTCTTTTATCATCATTTTCATGTTTGGACCATTATCTGTTGTAATTGTATTGATTTTTTCTCTTAACATCTATAGATCTAATATCTCAAGTAAAGTATCACTAATATGTACTGCATTATATGGATAACGAATATTTGAAATAGTAAGAACAAGTTCATATAATTTAAAATCTTCATTCAGAAAGCAACATGTAACTCCAATATATTCTTGACGATTTTGAGAAGTCCAAAGATCAGTAGTTAAATTGACTGAAATAGCATGCTTTTCAATATATTCAACAATTAAGGGATATGTATGATTATATACTCTATAAATAATCTGTTTTACCAATTTGACATCAGGCATTACAAATGCAAGATCTAGATTATGTAGAAATTTTCAAAATATTTCACTTTGGACAAATCTAAGTAAAATTGAATCAGCAATAATTCAATCAACAAGTGATTGCCTTAACTCTTTTTGCTTAACTTCTTTATGTGTTTTTACTGTATTGGTAATAGTAGTTTGAACCTTTTTTAAAAAATTAAATGTTAATTATAATGATTTTTAATAATAACAGAAAAATAAATATACTAAACATACAAGATTTCCTTCTATTTTTGTATTTTTGGTAATTTGATGAATTCTTGCAAGATGTGAAATGAGATTGCTTGTTGAATTTTCACTTAGATAAAGCCGTCTATACAACTTTTCATTTGTTATTTTAACTACACATTCAGTATCAGTTTTTCCATTATCAAGTAACACTGGATCATACCATTTCCATACCCAACTTTTAAGTTTGTCAGTTTTATCAAGTTTTTTTAATTTTTAATACTATTTCCTGTTTCATGATTTTTAGAACATTTGTTTAATAGTTTATCAGAAGGTTCAGTTAGATTATTAACTTCTCTTTCATTATTTTGATCACTTAAAGGTGAAAGTGAAATAGTTTCTTCAGCCATTATTATATTTTTAAATTTTAATACGAAAGAAACAGAATAATATGATAAAGGATTAAAATGTAGCTTTAACTCTCATAGTAAATCACACAATCATATAATACTAAATATTTTCAGTTTTAGTATATAAATTTATTTTATAATATGAATATTATTTATTAATATAATCTATTGATATAGCAGTTATATAATATAATATTTTGATCTTTTAATATAGTAATAAACTAATAAACTTAATTACATTAATTAGGAAAATGATCCCAGTAATTACATATATATATTATAATATTTAATATTAAAATGTAATATTATAATACATTATTATAATATAATAATGTATCATAATATTGTATTGCAATGCTATAAATAGATTTTTTTTGCAAACAATGCGATGTTGTTATTTACATGATTCTAAATCAATTTACATAACATAAAACTATATAAAGAGTGAGTGTCTGATGGGTGAGAGGAAGGAAAAAATGATTTTTTTTAAAAAAATATATTTTGCTGTTACATTTTTTGTATCAAACAATCAATTTTGCATCTTTTGAACTTAAGAATTTTTTTAAAAAATTTTATTACTCTAATAGATTATTTATTAATATATAAGTATTTACAGATATTTGCATAAATTTGTAACACATAAAAATAATCTGTCTATTCAGATATTTGTGTTATCCGTGTAGATTATAATTTATAGATCACTTCTCTACCCTGAAATAAATATTGAATTTGATAAATTGTGAATTCTTCTTTAAATATTCAAATATTAAGAAAGATTCTGAATTTTAGATACTGCTATTAATGCTTTGATAAAGTTCTTTAAATATGTTTTGATGGATGCCAATCGAATACAATTTCAAGAGTTTTCAATAATATTTTACATGGCACAGAAATTATTAGGAATTAAGAAACAATCTAAGACATATTTGATTGTAATAAATTGTTTAAAATATCAGATATTATTTCATCAACTTTATTGAAAAACCAGCAATCAGGATTTAAATGTGATCATGTTAAGTTTTTAAACCATTCAATAAAATCCACGTAAACCCTGTAGAACTAAACTCCTAAAAAAGATTTCAACTATTAAAGGATATATGTAGTATCCAAAAATAGTATATATCTTACCATATTTGAAAATACAATTAATTACAATGTTTCTGAGAATAGGATTTGAAGAACTTCTTAGAAAGTGAATAAATCAGGATATTAGAACTAGTTTAATGTCAGATATATATGATGGCGAGATTTGAAAAACATTTTTATTACACTTAGATATTCCTAATATATCTCAATTTTTCACAAAGAAAATGGCAGACTCGCATTTAAGAATTATGGTTAACCTTGATTAGTTCAACCTTTCAAGTCATCAGCATATAGTTGTAGGTGATTTACAGTGTAATATGTAATCTCCTTAAGATGTTAGGTTTAAAAAGGAGAATATGCTTACATTAGTTTTATTACCAAGACCTAATGAACTGAAATTGCACTGAATCAATAATTATCTTAAACCTATTATTGATGTATTATTAGAGATATAGAATGGTTTTAATTTACTGGTATCATCCATTCATCCAGCTGAAAAAAATTCGTGTAGTAGTTATTTGTTACTCTAATAATATTCCAGCTGCAAGAAAGTTATGTGGCTATATCTCTGCATTAGTCAGTTATTATAGAGATTACAAATGAATAAGTAGTGACAATAGCAATAGAGCAAATTTTGGTAGATTTGACGATATGAATAAATAGTTTAAAAATTGGGAACCTATCAATCATTGGTAAAATGCTAAAGTATAGTTACAATGTAAAACTAATGATAAAAGGAAGTATCATATTTCAACCACTCATGTTAGATGATCAGAAATGCTTAGATTACCATATTTTGATCCTATCAGATTTTTGATAGTTGATCCTATGCACAATTTGTTTTTGGGGATTTCTCAGTGGATTGTCAAAAGATTGTGAATTAATAGTAGTAAAATCACTAAATCTAACTTGGAGTTTATGGAAAAACAGGCAAAAAACATTAGATTATCAGCTAATCTTGGTAGAATACCATATAAATTAGCAATAGATGAAGGATTTTTTGACTTCACAGCAGTTCAATGGAAATCCTTTATCATGATTTATGCTACTCTCTTAATGTGGAATATATTATCAGAATCTGTTCAAACTATTTTGACAAACTTTGTCAAAGTATGTTTTTTGTTAGTATCGCATATTATTAATGATAATGCATTAAATAAAGCACACTCTCAATTGCTATTCATTGCACGTTTGATTAAAGAAAATTATGGACTGGATACAATTACTTCAAATATTCACTTATCACTTTATCTTGCTAATTGTTACTGTGACTACAGTCTGTTATACTTATTCTGGTATTATTCATTCAAAAGAATGAATGGAATATTAGGTAAGCTATTAATTCAATTATTATTAAATTATTAATTATTGCTAATAAACAATGAAATAATTTATTAATTGTAAACTAACATTTATTTTAATATTTGTTTGTTTATTTTTTAGGATTGTATCCTAACTCTAATTGTCAAATTGAGTCAGTGCTTTTGTGTATAATTATGCGAAACTAGCATTTGAATAATTTATTATCTGCCTAATTAGATAATATAAAGCTTAAGAAGGGATTAAAGTTAATACAACCCTGGCCAACTGTTGGTAGTCTAGCTGCATATGATGATTTTGAATTTGAGATTTATAATCTTGAAATTGATGAGACTATTACAAGTAATGAAAAATTTTTTGCCAAGATGCTCAAGCTGAAGTGAATCTACCACAGGATATTTATGACTAACTTATTCAGTATTATAAAGAAGCATACAATTCAGAATTTATATCAATAGCTGAATTAGCATTCAGTAAATAACAAAATACTAGAGGTTCAAGCTAGCAAATTGTTATTTTACCAAGAATTAATCAGTACAGTCATGTCCAAATTGGGGTTGAAATTTTTGGATCAACAATTACATCTCATTATTCCAAAATTCAAATATACTTGCCAAATTTATATAAGAAAATGAAACAATCAAAATGTATTCAGGTCAAATTCAATTTTATTTTAAACATTAAATCATTTTTCTGGATGGCGTTTGAACACATTAACTAGCCTTTATAAAATGGTATTTATCTAATAATCAAAAAAGGTTTTATTGTAGAATTAATAATGATAATAGTAGCTGTAATATTGAACTTTGGATTGATAAATTTTATGATATTGATAGAGATAGCATAATACCAGTTCATAATATTTACATCCAATTTGTAACTAGTAAGTTTAAAATTCAGAATAGTAGGAGTAATATCAAATATATGACAGTTATTTTGATTAACAGACATTTTTATATATAGCTTATTATTTTATTATATATTGATTAAATAATTCAGAATTTTTTTTATATTCTTATTTTATTATTGATTTGTTAATTATTTTATATTTTTATAAATATCGGCATACAATTATTAATCAAACAACAATCAGCTAATATATTAATATAAATCAGTAAGCAGGCTGATTGATAACTGATTTATAATACAATTTGATTGCTTTTAAATTGATAATTTAAAGCCAGTTTTATTAAATTTGTATCAATTATCATAATGTCTGATTGAACTTTGTTTACCTATGCAAGTATTAATGAATCCCTCTGAATTTTGTTTTTAACCTATAAATCATTAAGATAATCAATGTAACTTACTATCAGGTTGCTGTTCATCTAACCATTGCTCTGAAACTAAATGATAACTCCAGGAGAAATATTTTCTTTGCGTGACATTTACTTATCTTTGAAAATGTATATTGGAGGAATTTAGACCCATTTATAGTAAAGCAACAAAATAAATCATCAGCTCATGAGAAATTATTGAATGAAGGATTGAATGGGATATGAATAGGATGAGAAAAGTGGTTAGAAAAAATTGAAAAGAAAAGAAAAAAAAAATAGAAAAAAAATATAGACGATACCTGTAGCAATCGTAAGAATAATGGTAAATTGATTTTTTTCATTTTTGTTACTCAGATATAAACTGTCCTCTCTTCTTTCAAGTTAACTGTATAAATACTGGCTATGTTAAACCAAATGGGTGTCTCGTTCATATTAAAAATGTTTTTTTAATTCAAAACATTTTTTAATTCTTAGGTTAGTAACGAAATTATAAAATCTTTCTAACAATTCTCGAGTTTTGTTAGGAAGTCTTTGGGATATTCTAGTTCTTTACATAGTGTAAGCTTATATCTTTTCATAAAGCTACAAATCCATCGCTAAGACATTTTAAATTCTATTTTTCATTAAATCATCATAAAGAACCAATAGCTCCAGTTTTTTTAAAATTTTAAACATCTTGTTTCATATAGTTTCATAGGTAACTGCAAAATCTTATTTCCTTTATTCTATTATCTATATATATAGCTTTTTTTCTACTTCTAGAAAAAAGCTTTTCAGCTGAAACTAATATGCTTACTTATTTCATTACTTTATCTGTCTAACAAGCGCTAGTATTTACCCAATATTCTACTATGGTCATATCAAGGTTAAAGTGTCTACTAGCTTCATTCTGATCATATTTCTTTATGTAATTGACTATTTCTTTTTTTGTTTAATAGAGTATAAGTTTCGTGTACGTTTAAGAATTCGCAACATTATTTTTGAAAAATAAAATTTGATCAACGTGAATTTCTAAAAATATTTTGAATTTTTTATTTTAAACTATCCTGAAAATAAGCACTCCTATAACAAAAAAAGATGCTTATTTTTGGATAAATATGGTAAATTTATTTTAAATAATTTAATTAATAGTTTAATATTTATAATAAAGTTAAAATTTTTAAACCTATTTTCTTTTTTATAGTTGTTAGCAAATGATTATCATCAAAAAGGTCTTATTGACAAAATAATCATCAATAAATTGATCATTAGCAAAATAATCTAATCAGTAAAATTATTATCAGTAATATAAGTGTCAATGAATTGATTATCAAATAA